GGCGAGGAGAGCCGCAGCCCCCTCTGCCCGCCCAGACCGAGGAGGGGCGAGCAGGCGCGGAGCTGGGCGAGCGCGGGGCTGTGCGCGCGTCTCTCTGGGCACACACTCTCCGCGCCGCGCGCTCCCCGGGCTGGGTGGCCCCGGACCTCGGCAGACAGCAGCGGTGTGAGCCGCGCTTGCTCCGGGGTGTGTTCAACGCCGGGCCGGAGCCGCTCGCTGGGGTCACTCGACTCCTTCTCCCCCTCTCCCGGGAGCCAGCGGCGTGAGCTGGAGGCCGACCCTGCCGGACGCCGCGCTCCTATAAATAGCGCGCGTGTGCCCGCCTGGCGCCCTCCCGGCTGCGCGAGGACAAAGTTGTGCGCAGGGACTCGGGGCGCGTGGCAGCGGCTGGAGAGGACCCCGCCGCCGAGCCGCCCTGCGCCCTGGAACTGATCCCGCGGACCGGTGCTCTCCGTGCCCGGGACCCGGCTGGCTGCTGCCTACCTGCCGACGTCCGAGAGGCGCCGAGGTGTGGGGAATTTCGGACGAGGCGAAAGTGGGAGTCGCCGGAGTCCTGGCCATGAACACAGCCTCGCGTTCTTCTCAGTCCGGGAAACACCTTCTGCCTCTGTAAATCGTCCCTGCCGCAAGCCGGACGCGTACAGGACCGACAGCCGCACCGCTCGGCACCCACCTACCCCCGAGGCTTTTCTTTGAGTCTCCTTTGTTTTTCCTGCTCCGTCGTCCACCTGGGGGTGCTTGGGTTTGGGGTGAGAATTTATTACCGTTTTCCTCTTTGAGTTGTGAATGTGAGGGTGTGGAGACTTTTAGATGTCCAGGAACAAGGGTGGGTGCAGGGGCCCCAGGCAGGGCTGATTCTTGGGCGGAGGAGGGTGGGGTAGGGGGTTCTGCATGAGCTCCTTAAAGGACAAAGGTAACAGAGCCCGCGAGAGAGCGCGAGCGGAGACTTTGACTTCAAACCACAGAATTGGGGGAAGTGTGCGCGCCGCCGCCGCCGCCGCCGCCGCCGCCGCCGCCGCCGCCGTTCCTGCAGCGCTGTCGATCTAGCCACTGGCATCTTCCCGAGCGCCGGGGTCCCGGGGTTGGAGGCGAAGCGGGCGAGCGGGAGCGTCAGCCGGCTGCGGCTGCCCACGCGCCTCACCATGGGCTCCGGGAGCCGGGCGCTGTCCGTGGTGCCGGCCGTGCTGCTGGCCCTCACCCTGCCGGTGCTGCCCGTCTGGGCACAGAACGACACGGAGCCCATTGTGCTGGAGGGCAAGTGTCTGGTGGTGTGCGACTCGAACCCGGCCACGGACTCCAAGGGCTCCTCTTCCTCCCCTCTGGGGATCTCGGTCCGGGCGGCCAACTCCAAGGTCGCCTTCTCGGCGGTGCGGAGCACCAACCATGAACCGTCGGAGATGAGCAACAAGACGCGCATCATTTACTTCGATCAGGTCAGACCCTGAGGGATGCAGGGCACCGGGTGTGTGTATGGGTGGTGATGGTGGGGTGGGGGGTCGATCTTCTGGCAGCCCAGAGACCCAGGCTGCCTGCTCAGGCTAAGTTGGTCTGACTGGGCTGTGGAGGATCATTTCGGCACTCGCCTTCCCAAATAGGTCTGGGTCTGGAACTTCTGTCTCTCCCACCACCGCCCCTGCCCGCATTCCCTCCTGGCCTCCGGAGAGAAAGGAGGGGGAGAGGCTGGGAGCGCAGAGCCCAGCCACAAGAGCTTGGGGCGAGTTTCACAGCAACAGGTCCATAGGAGCTGGCGGGAGGCTGGTCCCTGGACCTCGAAATCTCTTGGCCAGAGCTTGGCACCCCCGGCTCAGACTCCTCTGCAGGTGCCGCCCAGGCGGTTCCAGCGCGGTCCCCTCGCGGTCTCCGGATAAATGATTTGTCCCCCCCCCCCCCAGGTGGAGAAGCTTCTCCCCAAGGAGAGCTTTGGGGGTCCACGTTCTCTGCAGAGCTCTCGCAGGTGGCTGCCGAGGGCGGGCAGTGATGGCGTGGGTCAGGTCTCGCCCACCTTTCTGCTGCCAGGATCCCCTCACACGCTGCAGGCGCCGCTGCAGCGGAAAGCCTTTCTGTGGTACTTGGAGAAAAGTTGTGGAGGGAGAGGGAGGGCAGCTGCAGGGAGCTCCCATTGGGAAGCGCTGGGGAGCCGGTGCTCCCTTCCCCTGCTCCGGTCCTTTCAGAGAATTGCAAATTACTGGGGAAAGACAGACTTTGGGATTGAGGGTAGGGAGTGGAGAGGAACTGATGAAATCTGTGGCTGGAGCTCTGGGGTTTGGCTGATGAGAAACCCCAGGGGTATCAGCTTAGCTTTAGCAAGCAGTCTTAAAACTGGAAACTGACTCCGGGGTTGTAAGTTCAACCCTAACAGCACCCAGAGTCTTTTAAATTCCATAGTCACTTGTGTAGTGCACAGTTGTATGCAAAGACACATGTGTGGGAACACAGGTTAAGTGGTACTGCAGTGTGTGCCAGGGAAGGAAAGAGGTGACATTTCCATTCCTTACTTAATTGTTCCTAAGTAATGCACTCTCCAGCTGGCCAGGCAGAGAATGCTTCTCTGGGGCTTACTATCAGATAGCTATAATTTTTAAAGAATGAAGCAGCCCCTTTGGGGTTTTGGTGCAGTATTTTCCATCCTGATGGAAATAAAGTCTAGCACCACCCCTGGTTTATATTTCAATGCATTAATTAAATGTTGGACGTTGTGGACATGGCACTGTACAATGCCTTCTTTTCCATGACCTTTCTGTCAATTAGAGGAGGAGAGGATTTGTTCTTCTGTTTGGGGAACCATGCATCTCAGAGAACACAAGACACATTTAATTATAAATCTGTATGTGCTGGGATGCTCCAATTACAATGTAGAGTCAACATCCAGCCTTGTGTGTAGTCAACACTAATCAGACATTTCCATTATTGCTAATGAATTATGCTACTTGTATCTGAGTCAGGAAGTCCCTGCTAAGTACCTCAAATTATTTTAAATGTGCTTGAGAAAAATCTTTGTAACAGCTCTGCTGGGGATTATTGCATAACTGGTGATTCGTTGCTGAAAGATCATTGATCATCAAGTCAGAGAAAGAATCTGAGGATTATTTGGAAGAAGGTGAACTCTCAGAATAAAATTATACACATACATGTATTTTAAGTCGAGGGTTGAACCTGGTACATCAACTTGACCCGCTACTCTATTCTGGTGCATTGCTCAGAGATGATAGTATGTTTTTAGGGAATTATGCAAAAGGCCTAATATTGGCACGAATGTAGCATTTACAAGAGATAGTGGCAGATTGCCACTGATACAGTGGAAATGTATCCTTATAGGGACATCCGATTTTTTTGAATGCCAGTTATATATTCATTTCTTGGAGAGAAATGGAATAAACCTCAGTCATTTTACAACTTCCCACCCCCAAACATTCTCACTCTCCTTCTCATAGGAAGGGACTGACTTATGTGACATTTGCAAATTTGGATTAAGAGGTCACTTATTGAAATTCAGAGTTAAACTTAATAAGCAATAGAAACAGGCTGCACATCTTGGAATACAAAATGCATTGCTGCTTTCTTAGGAAATAGTGCCTTATTTTACTTTTCATTTTTGACCCTTGAAGTTTAAATAAAGAGCAGGTGATTGAGAAGAGGATAACGGATAACACTGGCAGGAACACAAGAAGGCCACCGATTTCACAGTCTGTCCTTATTCATGCTCTACTTTTGGCAGCCTGCAAAGGCTGAGTCATTGCCAAAATATTATAATTAAGGCCTAGATGGCACAGGACTGAAAAAATGGCCATGGATCTTAGGAGAGGTTTGGCGGAGGCTCAGGGGAGGGCCAGGCATTCAGATTAGTCTGTGCACTATTCAGTCATGGATTATGTCACAGGGTGGAGGGGGTGCCCAGGCCTCTATGTGATATGTCCAGGAATGACTGCAGAGAGCCCATGGATGCCGATTGGCTGTCTTGGAAACGTCATCTCTGGACATTGCAAAGGCTTGTAGAGGATGGGAATATAAATACAGGGCAGATGCCTTTTATCTGACTCTCAAGGTAAAGCTAATATTTATAAGTCCTCTGTGTTACCTAGTTGTTTCCAGAGGCATCAGGCCTTGCTGGAAATTGAGGCCTGAATACAAAGCAGTTACTTTATTTTTTTTCCTCTACCATTTAAAAGACAGAAAAACCTTCCATTACACAAATCTATTTCCCAAGTCACCAAAGAGGAAAAGAGTAGAACTCAATGTTTTATTCTCTATTGTTTCTTAAACTCCTTATGAAAGAAATAAAGAAAGCTAGAAAGAGAGAGAGAGAGAGAGAAAGAGACAGAGAAAAAGAGAGAGAAAGAGACAGAGAGAGAGATAGAGAAAGAGAGAGGGAAGGAGGGAGGGGAAGATGGAAGGAAGGAAGGAAACTTACAGAAGAGATTATTGTTAATAATTTACTGTTACTTATTATTTTTATTTGTAGATCCTAGTAAACGTGGGTAATTTTTTCACCCTGGAGTCTGTCTTTGTAGCACCAAGAAAAGGAATTTACAGTTTCAGCTTTCATGTAATTAAAGTCTACCAGAGCCAAACAATCCAGGTATGTGTTTTGAACTGCTCCCTCTCTACCCCCAAACGGCAGTGTTTATTGGCAGTGGGTTATGTATTTAAGTGTTTATCCAAAGATGTGTTTTCATTATAAAAATAAACAACCATCTTTATAGTTTATTTTTAAAACACTTTATTTCCAGTTTTCTTCTTTATTACATCCATTAAGGCTATGACAGGAAACATAGAAAAATAAAGAGTAGAATGTATTACCTTAATAACAACCAACCATTTAGAAAACATGGCTTAGTTAAAAACTCAGTGGCACAAATCTCTTTATAAGATCTTGATTTCATTAAATGTGCAAAAATTATTTGAACTTGTAAGGAAGAAACTTGTAAGACTAGCAGAACTTTACAAGTACATATTAAATAAAACAAATTTGCCATCATTGTTAGAAATTTTGAGCTACACAGTTAACCATTAGAAAAAATACACTTTTTACGAAAGGGCGTTCCTCTGCGTATGCTTTAAATAGTTTATCCTCAGTTACTCTGAAAACTAGTGAATTCTTAGAAATTTCAGTTCCACAGTTAGCAACATATTTTGTGTTGTCCTTTCTCAGGTAATAGGCTTGACCTTACACTCAAAGACGAGTTCCTAGAATATTCAAATATGCTAACACCCAATAATACCAATGCATGTCTATGGAATTCTAGCATTCTCTTTATCTTATGCTCAGTGTGTGTGTTGCATACTACGGCCACATGAAAGGTGGATTACACACTGTCCTACCACTTTCACAGCTCCTAGCGAATGGGTAAATTGATCATCCTCAGATTTAATTTAGGCAGTACTTTTTTTTAACATAAAAGGAATGACTATCTAGTAAAGAAATTTACGAGCGTGGAAAAACTTTTCTCAAGCCCCGATATTTGGAAATTTATGTAATGTTTAACACAGTATAATCAAAACTGTAGTCGGGAGAAAATTTTGAGTTTATTATTTGTTAATAATTTTGAGTTTATTAATTATGAATTCCTTGCTAATTATCCATCATTAAAATCTTCACTATGGTGGTGATTATTATTTTTTAATACACATTTAATAATGTACATTTATTATTTTTAATACACATTATCAGGGAAAGAAGAAAAAAACAGAACACCCCCCCAACACACACACATACACATTCCATAATTTCAAATGATCTTCAGCACTATGCCTGTTGCAGGTTTAGTAACCTGAAAAACGTGTTGGTAGAATCTTGCTATATCTGGGTTTATCAGAGAAAAGGGCACTGGACTTCTACTGGGAAGCCTCAGGCTTGCTTCATTACCAAAAGATTGCTATTGAATGTGAGAAGTAAATAAAACAGCAAGCTTAAGTTATGTGTTGAAGGGAGGCCAGTTTTCCCAAGGCTAGGTTGCTGTCCACGGATGGTATTCTTTTGTAAGCATTTCAGGAAATTTCTATGGGAGAAATTGAAAAAAAAAAAAGAAAATCAGCTCAGTAGACCTACTAAGTGCAGCCACTGTGGTTGGCAGTGGACCTACTAAGTGCAGCCATCGCTGGGGATGAATTTGCTGAACATCAGATGTTTTACTGGGTCTGTCATCTCAGACATTATTCATTAGCCCTGGTAGATGTTTTCAGCGATTTTTTTTTCCCTCGTAGGTTAACCTGATGTTAAATGGGAAGCCAGTAATATCTGCCTTTGCCGGGGACAAAGACGTTACTCGCGAAGCTGCTACTAACGGTGTGCTTCTCTACCTGGATAAGGAGGATAAAGTTTACCTGAAACTGGAGAAAGGTAACTTAGTTGGAGGCTGGCAGTACTCCACGTTCTCCGGCTTTCTGGTGTTTCCCTTATAGGATTTGGTTTCTCCATGATGTTGATCCAGGGGAGGGGTGGCCCACCCCTGAGTTACTGGAAGATCATTTTCTCATCCTCGGATTGATGTCTTTTATCGGTTTCTTATGGGTGAATATGGATTCTCTTTAAGGATTCTAGGCCTGTCCGAACCAATACACAGTCTCACAGGTTATTTTGTGTGTGTGTGCGTCTCCGTATCCTCGGATGGGGACTCTCAGCAGACATAATATGTACCTGTGCTCAAGTGTGACAGTCAAAAGCTGTCTGCGAGGTTTATTCTGAATTTAATTTCCTGGAATCACTGAATTCGTTGCAGGTGTGGAATTTTATTTCTTTGTTTTTTAAGAAAAGACTGGCAACCGGGTCTAAGAATTAGAAAACTCTCAAGTTCTGACTTCAATCAACGGTTAGTACGATACTGCCAAAGAACTGTGTGCTGTGTTGATATATTGATTACACTCGTTTTTATTCCTTTGGAATCAGTTTGTTTTGTTCTCTTGCAGTAACTGGGGGTTGTTTTTCAGTGACTGGCTTTGTGTCTTCTCTACAAATAGGGTAACGAATGGCTTGCCCGCAAAGTTACCCTATGATATCACCAACATGACTTCCCTTAACAAAAACGAATGCTTCATAGTTGTATTTTAATTATATATGTGAAAGAGTCATATTTTCCAAATTATATTTTCTAATAGGAAGAATAGATCATAAATCTGACAAGGAAAAAGTTGCTTACGCGAGTTCTAAGTGCTCAGCCCCCAAACCTCCACCAAACCGCCCTCCTCCGTGGGAAATCCTATACTTTGTTTTTAATTATACCTATTTTTCAAGCCTTCTGTTGTGTTTGAAAGTATCATATGGTTTTGCCTTAATTCCTTAAATTGTATATATTTATCTGTTTAGCTAATATTAAATCCAAATATCCCATATCTAAACTTAGTGCAATATCTTATTTTGTCTTTTGTACAAGTCATATGAATTCATAAAATTATTTATGTCTCTGTCATAGAATAAAGGTTAATATATGTTAGCTGAATTGTTTTGTCCTTTCGGTTTGGGAAATATTATTCTCCATGGTTTATTTCCCCCTTTTCACCAAACCTTCTTTCCTTCCCCCTTCTCATTTCCATTTCCCGGAGTTTAAGAAAAGCTTTCGGAATCTGGGGAGAACCTTCTCTGAATTGGCGTGGGAAGGCTTCCCTGTGTTTAATCTGTTCTAATCCAGGAGTTGTCAGCCTGCCAAAAGAGAATCGATGGACTCTGTAAACTTTTCTTTCAGAAGGGACTTACTCTTAGGTAGTTAAGTTGAAAAAATTGGCTAAAATCTCCCGAGGGTGCTCAGTGAATGAGTGCGTGGCCATGGTATAGAGACCGCTATTTTCAATGTGAAGACTTCGGGGAAAAGTTCCGCCCCCTTCACAACACTAAAAGACAAATAGAAGATCACAGGTTTCTTTTGAGGAGGAACTATTATTATAGATGTCTCATCTGGAGCTTTGGCTCAATTTCCTGGTCTGTTGTCAATTAAAGCAATTTTGGAGAGCCCCTTCTGTAGATGGTGGCAGCAAGGAAGGTGTTAGAGGACCCTGTAGGAGGAGACATGTAGGCAAGTCTTCTAGCATAATTGTGATTAATCACCAAGTCAAAATATTCATTCATCACAGGAACACTGTCCTCCCGCCCCAAGAAGAATTATCTGGAGATGTTAGCATCGGATCCTCAGTGTTTTGCTTGGCAAGTTATTCACTCTCCAGCTGGCTTTCAGTCAGAAACTTTCCTCCTTGGTGATTGCGTAATGTGAGAAAAACAGTATTGCACGGGGCACTTTCATCTAAACATGAGTGTCATCCTCCGCAAATATATACCTGCTCTAATTTAACCTCCCCCAGGCTATCTGTATTCAGGGCTTGCGTCTCTACCTTGCAGCAGACTGGATTATACTTGGATAAATACACTATTAGTCATTGTTTTAGCAAAATGGCTCAGGGTATTGGAATTATTAATAGACACCTATGATGGAACAGAGAAAATGTGGGGCTTAACTAAATAGACCAGTGTAGAAGTGTCTAATGTAAATATGCTTGTGGCCATCCTTTGGGGCTTGCCCTTATTTTTCTTGATTTTTTTTCTGAACATAAAAAGAACGTTAGCAATGGGATTGACTGTAGTCCCTAAGCTCCAGTGTATATATTTTGGAATGCAAAATCCATTCAAAACCTCCCCGAAAAATTCAATATGAAAAGGTACTGAATCTCTGGCTATCAGATGTGGGAGGGCACTTGCAGGAGGGAGGAGCCCCAGTCGAGAGATGAGACTTCTCATCAACGAGGTCCAGTGAAAGCCTCAGGTTCTTACTCCAGACCGGGTCTAGGAAATAAGAGCTAGGCAGACACAGTGGCTGGAAAGGTAAGGTAGAACGGAGGGAACAAAAGGGACAGAATGATTTAGTCAGGGGAGTCTGGATTTGGAACAGACATAGGATGGAATCCTGCAACCTTCACTTACCAGCTCTGTGACCTGGGGCAGGTTTCCTCACCTCTCTGAGCTTTAGTTATTTCCTTAGTAAACAAGAAATTCTTGTGAGAATTTAATAAGGTGCGTGAAGTGCCTTGGACTCTGTAAGGAAGCCCAACAAAGGGTTGGCTGTTATTACTAATACCTGAAGCCCGAGCACAGCAAAGAAGCAAGTAGGGCAGAAGGAGGATGTTAAGACTGGCATGATGAAGGGTCAAGAACTGAGTTGGAGGGGGACTGGTTGAAGAGCTGGAAGCAAGGGTATCAGAAGTGCTTCCAGAAATGGAGCCAGATGCTCCCTGTGTGTTCTGTGACTTGAGAATAGTTTCCAGAAATTGCTCGGTCCACAAAAATGCTAATTGAACACAGTATTTGCATTGGCCCTGTCCACATTCATCGATGCCAGCATCATCCCTTCCTAGATGTTCCCTATCTCCTTTGACTGTTCCTTGATCTACTGATCAACAAATGCAAGCAATTGTCTGTAGCAAGCAGAATCCCAAGAAAAACACAACTGAAGGAAATAAAGAGCTTGTGCATAGGATCTCACTGATTCCAACTGCTTTTAGGGTGCTCTCCGTGACCCCAGATTCTGTTAGAAGGTGATTATTTAATTAAAGTTTTGTTTTAATTTTTTTTTGAATTAAGTCTGTTTTCCCCTTTCTTTTTGGTTTCTGGAGATCTATAGCCGCACGTCTTCTTTTGGCCTCTACTTTTTAGCAAACTACTGCTTTAAATTTTTTTTTAAAGATTTTTATTTATTTATTTGACAGAGAGACAGCGAGAGAGGGAACACAAGCAGGGGGAGTGGGAGAGGGAGAAGCAGGCTTCCCGCTGAGCAGGGAGCCCAATGTGGGGCTGGATCCCAGGACCCCGGGATCATGACCTGAGCCGAAGGCAGACGCTTAATGACTGAGCCACCCAGGCGCCCTCCCCCCTTTTTTAAGATTTTTTATTTACTGCTTTAAATCTTGAAATAAATCTCTTCAGCCAACACTGATGAAATTATCCTTCTGATGTGTCACACGTTTTGTTAAGGTGCTGAGTTCATATGAGCGTTGACATCAGCCTTTTTCAGACCTCCCTAAACATCAGACACAGAGTCTTTGCAAGTAGCAACCGAGATCTGAACATGCGGTTCCACCTCGCCTCCTGACTGAGCATACTGGGCTTTATCAGTCCCGCTTTACTGTTTAAACCACCTGTCCCCAGAACAGTGGTAATGCACTGGTTATAGCAAGGTCCCCAAGTTGGTTGACCTAATGCCCATAGAGAAATGATGAGCAGAGGAAGGTGACACCTTATGATAGCAGTTTCACATTCAGAGCCAAGGAGCCACAATAGAATTCTTGTGCCAAGTGGTTCCCTTTGGTAGGGAGAAGGTGGGATTTAAGAGATTTGTTTTTAAATAGGTTACTCAGTCCCCTCTACTGCAGGCCTACCTTTAATATGGGTTTCAATTGCTTTAGAATAAAAAAGATGCATTTTTTTTTGCACTGCCCGCCCCCCCACCCCGCCAGCTGCAAGCTGCCTTTTCTGTGGAAGACAACTCCTTTGTGAATTTGATCCTGAAGTTCTCTTATGTCAGCTTCTCAAACGAATGTTCATAAGAACCATCTAGGAATCTTGATAAAAATGTAGATTCCAATATCATAGGTCTGGGGTGGGCCCTGAAACTGCCTTTCTAAAAAGCTCCCAGATGATGTTCATGGTCCTGTCCCGGGTACCACACGCTGAATGGCGAGACTGTCCATTGTTGTTTCTTAAAGGCTTGTTACTCAAAGTGTGGTCTATGGATGCATCCGCATCACCTGGGGGCTTGTTAGAAACCCCAGGTGGGTCTAGACTCACCCCAGACCTACTGAGTTGGGATCCGCATTTTTCAAAAGGTCTTTTTGCCCCACCCCATGATTTTTAGGCACAGGAGCGTTTATGAAGCCCTGTCCTTAAGTAAAACCCGAGACTATCAGCATCAGACTCCCATGGGCTGGGCTTCAGTTTCACCAAGTCCCCAGCTGATTCTTTTAACCTCAGTCCATCCAGGTGCAGGGCATTTCTTTGCAGTGACCCAGAACTACAAATGCTCCTGTTAGCCTCCCTATTTATAACGCAGCGGGCTGAAGGCAATGCGTCTGAAGCTTTCGTGTGGGTGAACACGGGACTCTTATTTTGTGATGGAAAGAGGCTCCAGGGACTGCTGCCAGCTTGTGCAGAGGAAGGACTCGAGGAAGACTTCACCTAGAGCAAAGGTGTGGGAGATGCTTGCGTGAAAACGAAGGTAAGTCATCCACAGAAAGTGGCTTTCTCGTGAAGAGAGAAAACCCTTAGTGATATTCCTCATTTTGTCAGCATTTGTTCTGAAATAAAGATGTAGTTACGTTGCATTTTTTCTTTGTAATTGAAGTGATCCTTCTCCAGGGATTGCAGTGCCTTTAAGCACACATGGTGTTTGGCTTCAGAAGACACTGCTCCATCGAGTAAAGGGTGTGTGTGTGTGTGAGAGAGAGAGAGAGAGAGAGAGAGAGAGAGAGAAGAGAGAGTGTGCTCAGAAGGATCAACAACAACGCAGTTTCTAGCAGGTCATTCAGTACGTATAAAATTCATCCAAGGGCAGAAGTCTTTCTTAACAATTTTTAGGACCAATTGGTGATATTTACAATGAGAAACACATTGTACTGAGCTAAGGAAGTCTTTATTTCCCCTGGGTTACCTTGAGAACATAAATTTTGACCTTCTGACTTTCCAGGAAACCCTAGAGGACTTCAGTCTGGCTGTTTCCGGGGAAGGTGAGGGGCTCACAAAGATCTGCTCTGTGCTCGCAATTTAGGGGTGCAGAGAGGCTGCTGTTTGTTATTATTTATTTATTTATGTCATCGGTCATGTTTCAGCCTTACTGCCAAGGTACAATCAATAAGAGGAAGAAAATGTAGGGACATTAATGCAGGTCAAGTGGCTCTTTTCACATTTTTTTTCCCCTTCCTTTGGGATAGGATGACGTGGCTTAAAAGGACCTTTCCACCCAGTGGTTTTCCTTCAGGGGGTTCCAGAGAGAAGGGACATGGAGAAGCAGGAGCAGGCCCGGGCCCGTTTGAGGGTGGGAATATGGTGCTCTGAGCATTCAATGCAGCTGAAGATCATTAAGCTGGAAACAAGTCTGATGGGTCTAGAGATGGCTGTGCAGTGACCAGGGACAAGACCCTAGCATGTGGTTAGGGTGGCACCATATAGGAATGAGGGCTGCTACATTGGATAGGGAACCGGCCGAATGCTTCCACACTGCATACTTAGGTGAGAAAATGTCTCTAGGCCCCGAGTGACACAGCAAAACCCTTTATTCTACTGTCTGTAGCCCCCTGTTTTGACCGGGCAGTTATCCCGTTTGACCCAAGACGATGGCCAGTCTGCATGTTCAGCGTTCTGGATGGGGTTAGGGGGCTTTGATCCTTTCCT